GCCACCAGGGTGGGCCAATTTTACTTATTTTTTTAAAGATTTATTTATGTATACAGAACTGAAGTACAGGCCAGAGGTTCAGAAGATTCACCAGGGACAGAGTGGGGAGCAGCGGGTGGGACAGGAGATGTCTGCCGCGCAATAATATGGCCAGGGATCGAACTCAGGTTTTGGCGGCTATGGCCAGCTTCGTAGTACTGTGCTTTAACCTGTTGAGCCACTAAGGAGGGCCCTGCAGTTTTATTTCTCTGGCTGTTTTGCGAGGAATTCTGGTCTCTAATGAATGTTGGTAGGGATCTCCTGTGTGCCAGGTAAATACTGGGTGCAGGGTCTTAGTAGCCATGGAGGTCTTAAGTCCTAGTCTTTATTATTTTTTTTTTAAAGATTTATTTGTGCATACAGAACTGGGGTACAGGCCAGAGGTGCAGGGGCAGTGAGGGGATTCACCAGAGACAGAGTGGGGAGCAGAACATGCCGACTGAGGAAGGACACTGCTGAGGGGAGCAGTGGGCAGGTCAGGAGAGGTCTGACTCGCACACCACGTGGATCTCCTCCGGGGCAGGCGGGGACCTAAATCATGCGGAAGTGGCTTTAGCTTCTTAGTGCTGTGCTTTAACCTGCTGGGCCACCAGGGAGGCGTAACATAAGTCCTAGTCTTATGTTAGAAGAAATAGGAACTAAACCAGAAAAGTAACACCATAAAAGGATTTCTGAATGTGATCCCTGCTGTAGAAGAGCATAGCACAAGGAAATCATGGTGGGAACTGCAGCCAGAAAGGGTAAGGAAGACACTGAAAAGAAGGTGATGTTGGAGCTGAGCCCCAAAGAAGCAGCAGCTAGGTCTTCCTGTACGTGCTCTTATTCCAGGAGGCTGGAGGCAGCAGGTGCAAAGGTCCTGGGGTGGCTCTACCCTTGGAGGACTTCTGAGGTTACAATGGGGTGAGTGTGGATGGAGTCTGATCTGTGTGGAGGGGCACACAGTCCTTGACAGTGTGCCGGACCACAACTGCCCTCTCGATCCTACGGACGCCTGCAAAAAACCTCCCGGCACCCACCACTCGGTGGTTCCACGCCTCAACCTCTCGGCCTGATGCCAGGTATTAGGCAGAGAGCAAGCACCCACTTAACTCTTGCCGACTGCCAATGATCCGCTGGTCCCCAGTGGCGCGCTCGGCGGCCCCACCATTCCTCACTCATGTTAGGTGGGGAAACTGAAGTTGGGGCGGGCCCGGTGCCCAGCGCACCCGCGGAGCAGCTAGAGAGCGCGGGTGGGGGAGGGGCCGGGCGGTGCTGTTCCGGGGCGCGCACGCCGAACGGCCGTTTGGGGCGGGGCCGGGTTGGGGGCGTGCCCGGATGCGGGACGGGGGCGGGGCCCAGGCGGGGTGGCGCGGCCGGGGCGGCGGCTGGAGCGGCGGCAGATGCAGCAGTCTGGACAGCAGCGGGTTGGAAGCGCACCCGAGCCCGCCATGGAGCAGCCCAGGAAGGCGGTGGTCGTGACGGGTAGGAGGAAGGCGCGCCAGACGGTGGCGACAGCGGCCGGAGACGGGGGCTGGCTGACGACTCCGGCGGCTGGGGGCCAAGGAGGGGGGGCCTGGCGGCCCGGGCGGGGCAGGTGCCAGAAGTCGTCCCAGGTTGGACGGTGTCACAGCCCGCGGGGGCACAGCTCGGTCCGCGCGACGTAGAAAGTGGAGAAAGGGGGCCCACTGGGGTCCCAGTGTCGGCGGCGGGGTGAGTTAGGAGTATGGGCGTCCCGGCAAGTGCCTCTCGCAGAGCTGGCCACTCCGGCGTCCCTCCTCACCCGGGTGAGGACGGTGAGCCTCTGGGCACCTGCCCGTGCAGACCGCCTAGCTGGCGGGCTACACTGAGATCCACCTCCCTGCCCCTCCCGGGGTCGAGCCTGATCCCACCCCAGGCCCCAGGGGACAAAGGCCGATTTGCGGGCAGGAAGTGCCCCGGTGACAAATGTATCTCTTGCCAGCCTCTGCTCCCCAGCACTTCCCGTAAAAGGGGCAGGTGGGGTCGGCGGACCTTGGGTCCCTGGCGAACCTCACAGCTGTCCCAGGGACAATCTTGGTAAAAATGTTTTCTGCCGGCTGTTTGAGGGCCTTCGCGGCTTCCCTTGTGATCCACGGCTCTATACCTTTTGCAGGAGACTTTGCCTGGGGGCCACGTGGGAGTGGGCTGCGGCAGGGCCTCTGGTTGGAGGATCGTTTTGATCAGCTGTCTGGAGAAGTCAGTGGGAAATTCGCTGTGGTTCATACAGGTGTTTTGTAATGCTTGGAGGGTGGGGCTGATCCTGGAACTTCCAGTAAGAAGGAAGAAGCCACGCACCTACCTAGCAGGTGTGTGTAATCTTGAGGGGACTGTCGCCTTTCCCTTGCTGCCCTCCTGGTTCCCGTATTTATCTCTCTAGCACTGGCTGTGCAGGCAGGTGCTAGGTGGGTCATGTTCCTGTCCTGAACTCATTCCATCTTGATTGTCTCCATTTTGCAGAAGGGGAAATGGTACCTAAAGAGGTCACCCTGTTTGCAGGTGACTGAGTGGGGCTCACCCTGAGTCTGTGCAGGAGGCAGTGGAGAGATCCTGACCCTGTGGGAGGGGAGGGGCGGCTTTCCCAGGGCACAGCAGCCAGTTGGAACCCTCCACCCAGCTGGAATGACCCAGGCCTCCAGGGCATCTCCTGTAGATGTTTATTTTGTAGGTAGTGTCACGGGGTGACTAGAAGAAGGAAGCTGTGGACTCTTGATGGATCTCAGTTTGAATCTCAGTGCTTCCACATTCTCACTCTTTGACGTCAGGCAGCTGGCTTCTCCATGTATCTCACTGGTCCCTGCTCCTGTAAAATGGGCCCAGGAAACACCCTTGCTGGAAGAGGATGCAGCGAGGCTGAATGTTGCAGTGCAGTTATTCTTTGCTTGGGTTATATGTAAATGGGGACTAGGGTTTGAGTGAGTGGATGGAAGTTGGCAGGGTGGCGCGTGGTCTGGGAGACACCCACATGTATCCACTCCTTAAGAGCCGATCCTCATTAGGTGAATGGTGGTGACTCATGGAGGGCCTGTGATCTGCATTTACAGTCTGGGGAAGAGGCCCTGCATAAAGACAGTGATAAGTAATTATCACTGACTGGTCAAGGGTAGTGGAGAAAATGAAGGAATAAGGACTTTTCTGGGGTAAAAGGAGGCCACTGGTCACTTGCAGGATGTAAGATTCAGGTGAAGGTGAAGACAAGAAATGACCCACAGTTCCAATTAAAAGCAAAAAGAGAGAGAGAGAGAGAGAGAGAGAGAGAGAGTGTGTTTCTGAAGGGCCACTAGATGCACCCTAGAACTTGGGGCCAGGGCCAGTGTTTTTTTCTGGTGGCAGCTGTTCCTTGAAGCTCCCTGCGCTATTCTTGGGAGAGGGGTTGGGGGGGAAGCAGCTGGTCTGGAACAGACTTGGAAGGGCCACTGGATGGTCACAAGCTGCTTATACTGTTTGTTTGTTTTTTTCCCTCAGGGTTTGGTCCTTTTGGGGAACACACTGTGAATGCCAGCTGGATTGCAGTCCAGGTAACTCAGATCTGGAGAGTAGGAGTCATACTTGGGGCTGGGTTTTCCTGGAAATATTTGATTATAAAGAAAGGGAGGAATCTACAAAGAGAGTCTCCTGCGAAACATTTGGATGTGGTGTGTACTTCTTCTGATAGTCCCTGCTATAGCTTATATTTGTTGAGGGCTTCCAAGGTTTTTTTCCTGCCTTTCACTCTGAATTATCCCAACTTGTGCCCATTTTATGGATGAGGAAACTGAAGCCCTGAGAGAGTTCAACCACCAGGAAAGCTGAGTCGCCTCAGACATCCCATGCCTCACCAAGTTTGGGACAACCAGGCAGAGACATAGGGATGTGTTAACTTCATAGTAGGATGTATTGATCCTTATTGTTGCCTCCCTGAAGCTTGAGGGGCGGGGGAAGGCTACGTATGGGGGGGGCTCTTTTTCACTATTTTGAGCAGGTTGTCAGCCTACAAAACCTTCCAGTTTCTTTGTCAGATGGGGCATTTGGAGGGACAGACTGGGGAACAATGGATAGAGACGTTTTCTCCTTATATAAATCAGATCTGCAGAGACGGGAGCCAAACTCGTGTTAATCCTAGCCCATTAGCTGCTTGATTTAAAGCATTCCCAGCTTTCCATCCCAGAGCTCTGAATTTGGAGAGAAACCCAAGCTGAAACCTCAGTGTGTCAATCTCTCTTTCAAGCCTCTCATCTTTTTAATCATCCCCACTCCAAAACCTCAAAATCTTGGCCACTTTCTTCTTTAAAAAAAAAAAAATCATCCCACTTTGCGAGCAGAACATAGGGACGGAGTTCCCGGGATCCTGCAGATGGGAGCGTGTCCAAGGCCCTGCCCGTCCACTCCCTGGAGCCCCAGACAAAAAGGAAACAGCGTGTTTCTGAAGACGTGTGTGTCTGGCTTTGTGCGGGTTTCAGACAGGAGCCTTCACGGGACTGAGTGGACACAAAGCCATGTGTCTGAATTCCTGGGCCCCAGACACTATAATCTGCATCTAAATAGGAGAAAAATCAATTAAACAATCTTTGGAAATCCCTTGGATGGCGGAGGACGGATGGCGGACGACGGCAGCTTTTCAGCCTGCTGCCCAAGGGGAAAACCCCTGATATTTCAGTCACTCATCTTTGCAGACCTGGTTTGTGGAAGACTTTCCATTTCTATCCTCAAGTGTTTGAAACAAGAATTGAAAGGCGGATTTCCCCCCTTCTCCCACTAAAAAAGAAGCCAAACTTCCCAGAGTGGGTGGTTTCCCTTAAAAACAACGGGAGTACTGTGTTAAAACACTGGTTGTACCCCCCAATGCAAGTGTCTTAAGTCCATGAAATTTGATCTGTGTGCACCTGCACTGAGTGCTAGGACACTCCCAGGATGCTTCTTCCTTCTTCCTTGCGCAAGTCCCTGTGTCCCTCCCCAGCTACTCCTTGCTGGAGGTGTAAACTGCAGACTTCTCTGCCATGGCTGGGTGGCTTGTTCAAAGACGTGGCATCGGTGGAGATGCCTAGGAGGCTGTGGTGCTTGTGTCAGGTGCCCTCCGCAGTTTGGCATCTGTGACATCCGTGTGGAGGTTCGGAGCTGCTGTTGGTACAAATTAAAAGTGGGCTTACCCGTTCAAAGAGTGTGGCTGTTGGATGGTTGAAATCCATTCCTCAAGAGAATCCACTCTGGAATGTTCTTGATATTGCCCAGAACCTGGCTAATGACTGTCACCTCAAACTGAAGAAATTGAACGTCAGTGAATGTTACTTCCTGTCTCAGCTGAAGCACAGGTTGCCATCTATAGAAGGAAACCACCCGCTCTCTGAGAAAAGCTAACTTCCTCTCTGCCTTCCTTTCCTTTCTCTCCATAATCTCTGTAGCTGTCTCTTTCCATCTCTGCCACTGTCTCTCTCTCATCTCTCTTTTCCTCTCTCTGTTTCCATACAATCCTGTCTGTCTCTCTGTCCCTGTTTCTATCTCTCTTGGTCTCTTTTCTCCTGTCTGTTTCCGTCTCTGTCTGTCTCTCCCTTTCTCTCTTCTTGTTGGTGCCTTGAGGAAACTTGTGTGACAGTGAGGGAAGTTTCCTAGCAGTCTTGTCAAAGAAATGGGAGTGTAAGGTTGGAGGGACACCCTGTTTTATCTTTCCCCAGAAGTGTGCTGGCCTCTAGCACCACTCCCAGGAGGGTTTGAGTTTGTGTTTCATGTGTCCTTCTGCCCCAGGTCCCAGGTGCGGGGCGTGGGTCACTTGCTGTGGGTGCTTCCTGGGATGCTCAGGTGGGTCTGAGGGCTAGTACCCCCTTGACTTGGGGCATTTGGAGCAGCATTCCGTGCCCAAACAGGGTGAGGGGGAGCTGAGTCACAGGTTTTGGTAACATCACGGGACAATTACTGCCACAGTGAGTCTAGACAGACCTGCTAAGGATATTACCAGGGAACAAAGGGGGTCTTTTGTTGTGGGGTCAAGCGAATCGGTCAGACACAGCTTCGCAACAGAGTCTTGTCAGGTAGACAGGGTGTAGACAATGTGCTGTCTGGGGCACCCAGACCCCAAATGTTTTAGGAGGTGTGCTCAGCAGTTACACTCATTGCAAAGTGCTATAGAACCTGGGGTGAATTATCACCACCCCAGGAGAACATCCAGCTTTGTTTGGAGCAGAGGCAAAGAATTGTACTTGATTATGGGCCTCACTTATATAACTTGAGATGAATTTTCTTTTTTGTTTTAAATTTATTTATCTATGCATATAAGAACTGGGGTACAGGCCAGAGGTGCAGAGGTTAAGAGGATTCACCAGAGACAGAGTGGGAAGCAGAATAGGCAAATCGATGAAGTACACTGCTGAGCGGAGCAGTGGGCGAGACAGGAGAGGTCTGCTGCACCATGTGGTCAGTTCCCTGGCCGGGGCTTGAGCTCCTTCATGGTGGTTGCAGATAGCTTCATAGTGCTGTGCACTAACTCTTTGTGCCCCCAGGGAGGCCCCCAGTTTAAAAGTTTTTCTTGGTTTCTAAGTCATTTTTTATTGTGATGATATATATATGTATATATGTACACAATATAAAATTTACCTTTTTGCCATGTTTAAGTGTCCAGTTCAGTGACGTCGGGCATCTTCACATCAGTGTGAATTTGACTCCTCTAGAGACCTTATATGAGTGCAGTCACATAGTATATGTCCTTTAGTGACTAGCTTATTTCGCTGAGACTCATGCTGTCCTGGATCATCCACTTATGTAACCTGTGTCAGAATTCCTTTCCTTTATACTGCGGAATATTATTCCAGTCTGGCTAGCCCACGTGTATTTACCAGTTCATTAATTGGTGCACATATATGGCATACTTCTACTTTTTGGCATTGCTGCCAAATGCATGCATGAACAAAGGTGTATACGTATCTGCTCAAGATCCTACTTTTAGTTGTTCCGGTTATGTAGCTAATAGTGGGATTGCTGGATCATAGGGTGAGTTTGCGCTTAATTTTTGAGGAATTCCCAGACTGTTTTCCATAGTGACTGCACCATTTTACTTTCCCACCAACAGTGTATCTGGCTTCTAGTTTCTCCATATTCTTGCCAACACGTATTATTTTCTGTTGTTTGGATAGTAGCCATCCTGGCGGGTTTGAAGTGGGATCTCACTGTGGTTTTCTTTGCATTTCCCTGCTCGCTCATCATGTCGAGCATTGTTGCATGTGCATTTTGGTCATGTGTATGTCTTCTTGTGGAAGTATCTATTCCAGGCCTTTGCTCATTTTAAAATTGCCTGCCTCATCTCTAAAGCTTAAATCCTTCCAAGAATGTCTCTTTTCCTCCCCTTACAGGAAATTAAGGCTTTGATGAAAAGTGAGCCCAAAGAAAATAAATATGAATGACTAAGGAAAATGACTGTGGGAGAAGTAAATTTGTTTGATCAAGTTTTCTCTTGAGTCTGCTATAAAGGTTTTAATATTGTTGTTACACAAAATATAATTCCTCATTCCCAACCACCTGCCCAAAAGGTCTGTGACTCAGTTGGGTGACAGTATTGGGGAACAGGCTGACCATAAGATTTCTCAAGGAGCCCTGCCTAATCCCTCACATCACTAACTTGGCCAAACAGGTGGGGTTCGAGTTCCCATTTTGGAGTTTGACACCTCCCCGCCACAGACACCTTTCCTGCCTACCCTCCAGGTGTCCTTGTCTCTGACTTTGATGTACCGTCTTTGGGGAGGAATTTGGAGTTATCCAGAGCAGCTTTGGTGGAATGGGTACAGAACTGGGACAGTGTGCACAACAAAATCAAGGCTAGAGATCAAGAAATCCTGAAGCTGCTGCAAGAGATGCAAGAACTCACCAACAGCAAATTAAGCACGATTAGGTGTAAAAGTACTTCTCCTGGGGCCCACATATAGAACTTGATGATACCCAAGAGTAGTGGGATTTTCAACCTACTGCTTATATCTGAGAATAAGAAACAGGACTGTCAATAATCATTATTTGGAGTATTCATTTTACTCTGAAGAAAGCTTAGTTTTTCACAGGGAGGTGAAACCTTCTTCAAATATCTCTTGGTGTCAGGACTGATGGGATGATTTTTCTTCCAGCAAATTTGACTCTGGACTCAGTTTGGTAACCAACATTATTTGAGTACTTACACTGTGGCAGGTTTTGTGTGGAGCTCAAAGTGTGAATTAGTTCAGTTAACTCTTAATAGCTGCCTTGTGAAGTGCAGTGACACATCAGTGAAGGAAGGTGACATCTTAGAAATGCCTTGTCAGGCGATGTCACATTGTGTGAATGTCAGGGTGTAATCACACAGTGGGGATACAGCCCGCTGCACTCTGGGCTAACAAACTTAGGAACACTTAGGCTCTTCTGAAATTTCGCACCAAGCGGATTGAAATCTTAGTATTATATTTAGTTTACTTAGCAAAGTAACATACAAGTGTTTCTATCCTCCTGTGTGGTTGCTGTGGACTGGAATATCATTAAACAATGTGTGACTGTAGTATCCCTCTTTTACAAATGGGGAAACTGAGGCTCAAAGAGGGTAAGTGGCCTGCCCGAGGTCACAGAGGTAGGGTTCATTCCCGGGAGCCTCGCTTTTGTGGCTACATTAGAGCAACACTTGCACCTCCATTGTCCTTAGTGAGCCAGGAACCCCCATTTTCTGGAATAAGGCAACTTAATCCTCTTAAAGCAGTTATCCCTACACTCTACCTAAAGCCATGACACCCGCTCTCCTCTCTTCTAGGAACTGGAAAAGCTGGGGCTTGGCGACAGCGTGGACCTGCATGTGTATGAGATCCCAGTGGAGTACAAGACTGTCCAGAGGCTCATCCCTGCCCTGTGGGAGAAGCACAGCCCACAGGTGAGTGGAGCAGAGGCATGTGCTTCTTCGTTGGGCCGTGCAGATGGGTGCGCACACACATGGTCTGTGTGACTTGTGTTCACCCTAGCACATGGCCTGTGCCATGGTCTTGTCCCCCAGAGGGCCACATTTTCCAGATTGCCTTTGTAGGTGAGGGAGGAAAGCAAATGTCTGGGACTTCACAGGGCCTGGCTCTGACGCACTGGAGTTCTGTGTCAGTTATAACATATTTGGTCATAAGTGATAACCAAAACATAGCCTGGGCCCTCCCTGCTGGCACAGTGGGTTAAAGCGCAGCACTACGAAGCTCACTGCAGCCGCTTCAGCTCAAGTTTCATTCCCGGCCAGGGAGCTGACCCACATGGCACAGCAGGCCTCTTCTGTCTCACCTTCTGCTCCTCTCAGCAGTATACTTGGTCGATCTGCCTGTTCTGCTCCCCACTCTGTCTCTGGTGAAACCTCTCACTGCCCCTGCACCTCTGGCCTGTGCCTCAGTTCTGTATGTGCACACATACACTCGCGTGCATACATACCTTAGTTCAACTAGGCACAGATGTTGGCTCTCCAGGTATAACTTGATCCACGGAATCACATGGTGTTACTGGCATCATCTCTTGACTCAACTTTGCTTTGCAGCTGGCTTTTGCTTTGACTGCTGGCTGATATCTTTGCAATCTAGCCAGCTCTGCTGAGAGCACTTGTCCTGCTAATAGTTCCCTAGAGTCTGTGACTGATTCTTATTGGCCAGCTTGCATCACATAGCAGTCCCTGGGCCAATTGTAACTGATGGGGGAAAAGAAATGTTCTGACTTGCCAGACCTGAATTACATGCCTACTCTGGGAGCCAGAGGGAATGAAAAAAGGGAGTGTGTGTGTGTGTGTGTGTGTGTGTGTGTGTGTGTGTGTGTGTGTGTGTGTTGGAGTTGGAAGGCCTTGCAAAGGGAGAGTGGATGTAGTAAGGAGTGTGGCTATTATCAGATGTGGTAGAACAGAGGCCAAAGGGCAAGAACCACACACTCCTGTGCTTCAGCCAAGATGCCTGGAAATTTACCTGGACAGGAGCCTCTCATAGGTGAGGTCCTGGTCCACTGTAGGACTCCACCCACCTTTACCCTATACTGCTAATTTGTATTCTTTCTCTCTTTTTTTTTTTTTGCATAATGAACTGGAGTGTAGGCCAGAGGTTTGAGTGGTAATGATGGTGGTGGGGGTGAGAGGACTCACCAGAGACAGTGGGGAGCAGAGCAGGTGGATCTGCTGAAATACACTGTTGAGGGGAGCAGTGGGCAGGTCAGGAGAGGTCGCTGTGCCAAATATGGGTCAGGCTGTAGTGGTGATAACGCTGAGACTTAACCCCTAGGCTACAAGGGAGGCCCTGGTTTGTATTCTGTAGGGCTTGTCAAGAATCTTCCTTTAGTAAATCTTCCTGTTGGCATCTCAAGAGGAATTTGCTGCTTTTTAGAGGGGAACCAGGACACTAGTGAGGAGGGACTAAAGCCTGTATGAATGGACTTTTTATCTGCTTTGCATATTACAGTTAAAAAAGAAAAACCTTGTATATGAGTATGCTTTGAAATTTTTCATATTGTACACAAAGGGACAAAGAAAAGGATTTTGGGGCCCTCCCTGGTGGCACAACAGGATAAAGCGCAGCACTATGAAGCTATCTGAAGCCATGGCAGCATGAGTTCGATCCCTGACTAGGAAGGTGACCCACATGGCGCAGCAGACCTCTCCTGACCCGCCCAATGCTCCCCTCAGCAGATCTGCCTGTTCTGTTCCCATTCTATCACTGGTGAATCCTCTCACCCCCTGCACCTCTGGCCTGTACCCCAGTTCTTATATGCATAAATAAGTAAATCTTTTTAAAAAAAGAAAAGGATTTTGGAGTCAGGCTACTGCTGATGAGCCGTGAGGTCTCCAGCAAACCCCTTGGCTCTCCATGCCAACTGTAAGGTGTTGAGCAGCATCCCTGCTAGGTGCTAGGGGCACGGTGCCCTCAGTGTTGGTGACCTATAGACACTCCAGACATGGCCAAGTACCCCTGGGGCAGAGCCACGTCCTGTTGAGCGCTCCCAGTCAGTGTGGTTAGCAGCGCTGCGTCTGTGACTGCACCGCTCCCACCATCTTCAGACAGGCGCCCTGCAGCACATGCGCATGCGTGTGTGCATGCTGCCTAACAGCTCGCCCTGCGGAGGAGAGCTGGTGGCTGCCAGAGCTGATGACCGCAAATTGGGTATCTCAGACTAGGGTTCAGCACTCTTCTGTTCTGGAGCCCAGGAGACCAAATCAAGGCGTGGCAAGGCTGGGCTTCCTCAAGACTCTATGGGAGGAGTCTTCCTGCCTCTTCTAGCTTCTGGGGTACCTTTGACTTGTGACTGCATCACTGCCAACGTGGCCTCTGTCTTCACATGTGGCTTCTCCTCTTCTACCTCTAGTCAGGGTAGAATGACTTCTAGTTACTATAATTGACTTACAAAAGAATTTGTCTTTGGATTCTGAGCCTACCTGCATAATTCCAGGGTGATAAAGACCTTGTTCCCCAATAAAGTCTCAACCTCAATTTCCAGGTGTTCAGACGATTTTCACGTTCATGGGTATTCAGTGTCTGGGGCACAGATAATACAGTGCAGACATCACACATCTAGTAGTGAGAAAAGCAGGCCGGCCAGCTAGTAATTCTGAGGAGTTGGGTTCAGGGGCACATGGCCCCTGACACACTTTTATGTCAGTGACACAGGACAGTTCAAATATTTTAGCAACCACATTTGAAAAAGGCAAAAGAAATAGGCAAAATTAATATTAATAATTTGTTAAGTAGAACCCCTATGTATAAAATTATATATTTATGCATACATGAATTGGGGCATAGGCCAGAGGTGCAGGAGGTGAGAGAGAGACAGAGTGGGGGGAAGAACAGGCAGGTAAACTGAAATCCACTGCTGAGGGGAGCAGTGGGCAGGACAAGAGAGGTCTGCTGCACCGTGCGGGCTAGCTCCCTGACTGGGGATCCAACTTAGGCTGCAGTGGCTGAGACAGCTTCATAGTGCTGAGACTTAACCCCTTGCACCACCAGAGAGGTGCATAAAATATTCTTCTTTCAACATGTAACTAACATGAAGAAAAATTGGTTTTTTTCCTCCTCTCCTTGCCCTAAGTAAACTTTTATTTTTTTCAAGATTTATTTATGCATGCATATAAGCACTGGGGTGCAGACCAGAGGTACAGGGTGGGGTAGAGGTAAGAATTTTCACCACAGACAGAATCGGGAGCAGAACAGGCAGATCTACTGCAGAAGGGAGTAGCCAGCAAGACAGGAGAGGTCTGCTGGGTTATGTGAGTCAGCTCCCTGGCTGGGGTTTATACTTGTGCTGCTGTGGCTTAACCTGTTGCATCACTAGAGAGGCCCCCAAGAAAACTTTTAATAAGATATTTTTTTAAAGATTAATTTATGCATACAGAGCTGGGACACAGGCCAGAGGTGCAGGGGTGGTGAGGGAACTCACCAGAGACAGAGTGGGGAGCAGGACAGGCAGATCAACAAAGTTCACTGCTGAGAGGAGCAGCCAGCCAGACAGGAGAGGTCTGCCGCACCATGTGGGTCACCTCCCTGGTCAGGGATTGTACTTGTACTAACTGAACTTTGTCTAGCTTCGCAGTGCTGTGCTTTAACCTGTTACGTCACTAGGGAGGGCCCAAGTAAGATATTTCACATTGTTTCTTCCACCCCAGCCTCTGAAATCTGGTGATTGTTTCCACTGACCACACATCTGTTTATATTGGGCAGGTATTTGTAGTCACATGTAGCCTGAGGCTGCCATGCTCATCACTGTATGTTTTATTTTTCAAAGGAAAACAAAATACCACCATTCCTTATGTCCTCTTTGCCCTTACTCCCATGCTCATAACGTCTGTTAAGGTCAGGTCACATATCATCATCTACTACTCTACTTCTGTTTTTTAGTCTATATTTAAGATGTCCCCACATGGACCTCCCTGGTGGCGCAGGGGTTAAGGATAGCACTGTGAAGCCATCCACAGCCACTGCAGCACGAGTTTGATCCCCAGGCAGGGAGGTGACCCACATGGCGCAGCAGACCTCTCCTGTCTCACCCACTGCTCCCCTCAGCAGTGTATTTCAGTAGATCTGCCTGTTCTGCTCCTCACTTTGTCTCTGATGAATCCTCTCACCCCCTGCACTTCTGGCCTGCACCCCAGTTTTTATATGCATAAATAAATAAATATTTTTTTAAAAACTTTTAAGAAGAGTCCCCATATTTTCACATGAATAGTTAAAGTGCATTCAGTTGGGTTTCTTGCCTTTCACAGATACATTTCTAAACATTTAGTCCACTAGATAGTTAAAAATTCTCTTTATAGAACTCTCCTGCACTGCTGGTGGGAATGCAAACTAGTACAACCACTATGAAAAACTAGAGGTTTCTCAAACTGCTAAAAATGAAGCTTCCATATGACCCAGCAATCCCACTCCTAGAAATCTACCCAAAAGACCCAAAAACACCGATTCAAAAAGACACCTGCACCCCCATGTTTATTGCTGCTTTATTTGCAATAGGAAAGGCATGGAATCAACCCAAATGTCTAAAAGTAGATGACTGGATTAAAAAGATGTGGTACATATACACAATGGAATATTACTGAGCAACCAAAAAAAGAAACATATGTCTTTTGCAGCAACATGGATAGAGCTGGAAGGGATCGTGCTTAGTGAAATAAGTCAGAAAGAAAAGGAAAAATACCAGATGGTTTCACTCATAGCAGGAGCATAAAGGACTGGGGGGTGGGGGGAAATAATAATGAACAACTATATACCAGAGACGTTTCACAGGGGTGGAGTGGGGAATGGGATCAAAAATGGGGCGGAGGGGAGTATACAGGACTATGGTGGTGGCATGCGGGGATTACAACTGAGATGGGAAAAGGCACAAATGTTATAAAAATATTATTTAAAAAATCTCCTTAGAAAATGTTATTTTAATGGCTGGGTAATTTAAAAAATATATTTATTTATTTATGCATACAGAACTGGGGTACAGGCCAGAGGTGTAGGAGATGTACCAGAGACAGAGTGGGGAGCAGAATAGACAGATTGTTGAAGTACACTGCTGAGGGGAGCAGCAGGCAAGACAGGAGAGGTCTGCTGTGCCATGTGGGTCACCTCCTGGGCTGGGACTCGAACTAGCACTGAGGTGGCTGTGGCCACTTTGCAGTGCTGAGTCCTAACCCATTGTGCCACCAGGGAGGGCCCAATATCTGGGTAATTTTTTTTTACTTTAGTATAACAGTTTATTTTTATATCATTCTGTGCCTTTTCCCATCTCAGTTGTAATAACCATGGGCTTCCCATCACCAAATCACCTGTGAGTCATCACCGTAGTCCAGTGCACCTCCCTCCAAATTTTTTATCCCATTCCCCACTCCACCCTCATATTGTTATTATTATCCCCCCCCAACCTGGTCCTTTATGCTCCTTCTATGAATGAAACCATCTGGTATTTTTCTTTTTCTTTCTGGCTTATTTCACTAAGCATGATCCCTGATAGCTCCATCCATGTTGCTGCAAAAGGCATGAAGTTTTTATCTTTTTTGATCGCTCTGTAATATTCCATTGTGTATGTGTGTCACATCTTTTTAATCTACTTTTGGACATTTGGGTTGATTCCATGCCTTTCCTATTGTAAATAAAGCAGCAATAAACATGGGGGCACAGGTGTCGTTTTTGAATCAGTGTTTTTGTGTCTTTTGGGTAGATACCTAGGAGTGGGATTGCTGGGTCGTAGGGAAGCTCCATTTTTAGCAGTTTGAAAAGCTTCCAGACAGTTTTCCAAAGTGGTTGTACTAGTTTGCATTCCCACCAGGCTGGGTAATTTTTAAAAATTACTATAACCATTCTCCTGTTTTATTGGGTATCCTGGTTGTTTTCATTATTTTCTCACTTTTATAAAAAAAACACTTAAGTGGCCATTGACAGATTATTTTTAGTTCAAATAGGCTATCCATCTAGTCTAGGTGTGTAGTAGGCTATACTATCTAGGTTTGTGTAATTACTCTTTGTAGTTAAATTCCTCATAATGTGTCCCCAAAGTTAAGCCGTACATGACTGTAACTCTGGTTTGGGCATGTTAATAGCTACTTAATAGTTTATAATTTATTATCCCCCTCCATGAATGGCTAGTTAATTAGGTTGTAGTATTTGATTGCAATGACAAAACCGCAATGAAATAGTTTTGCATGTTCCATAGCTTTGCATGTTTCACTTGTCATACTTTCTGAAAGAGTACTGTAGGATATATTCCAGCAGTAAGAGGTCAGCAAGACAGCATAACTGCAGGCTGAGCATCCCAGCAAGCATTGATGCCCTTTTCTTAGCCTCTGGGAATCTCTAGCCCCATGGTTGTACCTTTTTAAGCCCTGCCTGTCTGTCTGCAGCTGGTGGTGCATGTGGGGGTGTCCGGTATGGCAACTACAGTCACATTGGAGAAGTGTGGGCACAATAAGGGCTACAAAGGGCTGGACAACTGCCGCTTCTGCCCTGGCTCACAGTGCTGCATAGAGGATGGGCCTGAGAGTATCGACTCCATCATTGACATGGATGCTGTGTGCAAGAGGGTCACTACACTGGGCCTGGATGTGTCGGTGACCATCTCGCAAGATGCTGGCAGGTAAGGCACCATGGACCCCACAGGGTAGGTGTGAGTGGGGGCTTCCTTCCTCCATGGGCATAGGCTGGCATTGAACCAGCCAAGTGTGTTGAAACTTGGTCTCTCTGGGCTGTGTACTCAATATGCTTGGGGCTCAGAGATGAGTCTGAAGTTCTGCTTTTGGGGCTCATTGTGTGTAGATCTGCCACTTTCTTTTCTTTTTAAGATTTATTTATTTACGCATACAATAACTCAGGTACAGGCCAGAGGTGGAGGGGGCGAGAGGATTCACCAGAGACAGAGTGGGGAGCAGAACAGGCAGGTGTACTAAAATACACTGCTGAAGAGAACAGAAGGCAAGTCAGGAGAGGTCTTCTGTGTCATATGGGTCAGGTCCCTGGCCAGGAATCAAACCCGCGCTGCTCTGCTTTAACCCGTTGCACCACCAGGGAGGGCTCAGAGTTCCTGGCCTTATAGCTGCATCACCCCAATCACTGCTTCTGTCTCCATATGACCTTTGTCTCTGCCTTCTTATAAGGATGCCAGTCACTGTATTCTGTACTCTAATACGGCCACATTATAGTGACAGGCATGCCTAGTTCTACTGTGCTTTGCTTTATTGTACTGTGAAAATACTGTTTTTTCACAGATTGAAGGTTTATGACACCCCTGCATTTAGCTAGTTTAGGATTTTAGCTATTTTTTTTTTAAAGATTTATTTATTTGTGCATACAGAACTGGGGTACAGGCCAGAGGTGCAGGGGCGGCGAGAGGCTTCACCAGAGACAGAGTGGGGAGCAGAACAGGCAGATGGACGAAGTACACTGCTGAGGGGAGCAGCAGGCGGGTCAGGAAAGGTCTGCCTCGCCATGTGGATCTCCTCTGGGGCGGGCGGGAATTGAACTCATGCAGAAGTGGCTTTATCTTCTCAGTGCTGTGCTTTAACCCACTGCGCCACCAGGGAGGGCCGGATTTTAGCTATTTTTTAACACCATGAGCCACGCTCACTTCATGTCTCTGATAACTCGGGCATGTCTACTAGTTTATGTACATAATGCTGTGGCAAACCTAATAGATTACAGTGTAGTACAAATGTAACTTTTTACACACTGGGAAATCAAACAGTTAGTGTGACTTGCTTGTTTGACATTAATTTTACTAAGGTGGTCTGGAACCAAACCTGCAATATTTTTGAGGTGTGCCTGTAATTACATCTGCAAAAATTGTATAATCCGACTAAAGCTACATTGAGTGGTCTGGGTGAACAGACCTTGGGAAGAAACCACACAGCCTACTATGAGTTGCTTATAACTTTAAGTCAGTTGATGTCCTTTCTGAATCCCCCCTATAGTTCAGCTGCTTCCAGAATAAAATCCCAAGCTCTCCCACCACCACTGGTTCTGAGCGCCTGGCCCTTGACCCCGTTCTGCTTTCACCTCCCCGGCCTCCACTATCCCTGACCTTCTCCGTCCAGACCCACAAACTGCTCTCCTCCAGTTCCGCAAACACACAAGGCTCAACTCCAGCCTTAGGCCTTTGCACAATGTTGCAGCCTGTTCCCCAGATAATACCAGTCTCAGGTCTTAGCTCCAACATGTCCATTCCTTCGAAGGTGTCCCCAAACTCTCAGATCAAGTTACATCTTCTTAGCAGCTGGTATCTTGATTTCTCAACACTTTGGATACTTTTATAGCTTAAAGGTGGCAGGTAGCAAGTTCAGATGGCCTCATTGTTCTATTATGGGGATATATTCTCAGATGATCCCATTGTGGAAAAGTTTTCTTTCCCTTTCTCCTTGCCTCCAGCAATCCCTTCGGTAAATCAGAAACTTATATTGGGGGCCCTCCTCTTTCCCCCCACATTTGCCTCTATACAGTCATATCACTTACCTAAGTGTGAGTCAGTGAGGGCCCACACAGATGATGGTGTCGGCGGCAGTAGGCTGTACCACACTGTCCGGGTGTGTAGTCGGCGCACCGTCTCTAGGTTTGTGTATCTGCACTAAAATGTTCACACTGCAACGAGACTACCTAAGGACATGTTTCTCAGAACATGTCCCCATCTTAAGTGGGGTGATGTATGTGGTACACTTGGCGGCTGGCTTAGGACTTTGTCCTGTTTTGGCCCGTTTTTACCTCGATGGGGTTACATAGTGTGTGTTTCCTGAGCGTTTCCTTCTCCAGCTTCACTTGTGGGTCCAACATGGGACTTGGTGAAGCCTGTTTCCCTGGATGTGCTCATGCTATCCGTGTTACACAGTGATGTGCTATGTGGGTCAACCAGTGTCCACTACTCATCTGTTAGTGAATTTGGCTGGGCTTCCTCAGTAGTTAACAAACAACTGGAATTTATTGCTCACAGTCCTGAAGTCTGGGAAGTCTAAACTGTAGGCATCAGCATGGCCTTGTCCTGCTGAAGGTCTCCAGGCTGCAGACGACTGGCCTCTTGCTGCATCTTCACTTGGCTGGCAGGGCCAGGGAGTTCTGCTCTACCCCTTTTCTGTGGGTACTAATTTCATTCACAGGGGTTCTCCTTCCCCAAAACCTAACACTGTCTCACCGGGACTTAGGCCTTCACCATAGGAATCCGAGGGGCACACAAACATTGAGACCCTAGCAGGTTGTTCCTTGTTTTGCCTTTATACTTACCACTGCTGAGAACATCTTTTTTTTTTTTTTTTTTAAGATTTATATATTTATGCATACAGAACTGGGGTACAAGCCAGAAGTGCAGGGGGTAAGAGAACTGCACTTCTTACAGGCAGAGTGGGGAGCAGATCGATGAAGCACACTACTGAAGGGAGCAGCGGGCGAGACAGGAGAGGTCTGCTGTACCATGTGGGTCAGCTTCCTGGTCAGAGATCGAACTCACGCTGCAGTGGCTGTGGACAGCTTCATAGTGCTGAGACTTAATCCGTTGTGCCACCAGGGAGGGCCTGACATGAACCTCTTGTTCTCACTGCCCTGTGCCCTCAGGTAGACAGATCCTGAAAGTAGATAGCCAAACTAGAAATATCGCAACATAAAATCTGTGCACGTGTGATTTTACTAGCCTGCCAAATCACCTTCCTCAGGCGTGGTGGGGCAGTTTACATACACTCCTGCATGGGCCTGGCACTTGGACCCAGAAGGCTGTTTTATTTCTGTGGATCCAGGGAGGGAGGAGAGGCTGTCTTCCCTCCTAGGTTTCTGGTGAGATTGGGGTTGGTCTCCCCACCCCCATTTTATTAGGAAAAGGACAAAGAAAAAGGCACCTGCATCACAGGCGGCAGGAGCGTGCTGCGGGGTCGGTCTTGCAGCATATCGGACAGCCGTTGTCCTGTCAGTCTGGGCACTAACTCGCACTCCATTCTCACTCCCTCCCACCCCACCTGGGGCTTAGGTACCTGTGTGACTTCACCTACTACACCTCCCTGTACCAGAGCCACGGCCGCTCAGCCTTTGTCCACGTGCCCCCGCTGGGCAAGCCCTACAACGCAGACCAGCTGGGCCGGGCCCTGCAGGCCATCATCGAGGAGATGCTGGATTTGCTGGAGCAGTCAGAAAGCAAGATCAACTGCCATCACAAACACTGAGGGCCTGCCAGGCCTGCCAAGACATTATCCTACCAGGGACCTGGGCAAGGCTATCCACTGCCCTCCAGGACCTGGTCGGGAGGGTCCAGACCTTCAGCAAGGGAGCTGATATGGATCAACTATTCTTTGTTCTTTGTTTTTCTCTGAAAAAGCACTAGCCAGTGTGAAGGAGGCAACTGAAGATTTTTTTTTTCAATTTCCCTTTGCATCTGGGGATGCGGCCGCAAAAGCATCAGCCGTGGGTCCCTGTTTCTGCAGAGAGCCCTGGTCGGGGATCTCTGCTGTGTGACCCTATGGCCGGGCCGCTTGTTCACGAGCTTTTCTAGATCTTAGTTGAAGGGATTCTGGAGTTCCCTCTGTTCCCAACTGGTGTCACCCAAGCTGAAGAGCCTCACACAGTCCTTGCCCTGAACTATGTCCTAAGCAGCCTGAGAGCCCCGGAAAGGAGCGCCTTGGATATGGTGTGGGTTGTTTTTTCTTGTTCTTTTTTTTCAAAAACAATAGTGCTAGTTTGGGCACAGAGTAATTTATATTCCCCTTGGTTAAAATGTGGGCTTTAGCCAGCCATAAGTGTCTTTTCCTTTTCCTGGGGTGTGGCCCCTTCTGCCTTCTGCCCTGAAAACTGGATCTATATTCTTTCTTTGGAACTGAAATGAGTGCCCCTTGCTCAGAGGGAGGCGGAGACCACGACCAGGCTAGAGATGGGGCAGGACAGCCACAGGGACTGGGGGTGTCACGTGCAGCCCCAGAGCCCTTGGCTGGCTACCCCTCCAGTACCCAAGCAGAGCTGGGAGTTAGACCCAGGGGCCTCCCAAGGAGGTGGGGGAGAGTCACTTTGATGTGTGCAGGACTGTTTTCTTAATACGTAAAAATCTGTAGCAGCTGCAAACCTGCCCAGCATCTGGCCTGGATTTCCTCAGTCTCGATGCCTGGATCCCGATTCTTGCTCTCCTTAAGGGAAGCCCCAAACAGGACCTGGGAGCCAAAGTTTGCTGAGCTCTGTGTGCCAGCGTGTTTGAGCAGCAGGACAGCTGGCCAGCCAGCGGGCTTTCATGTGGATGGTTTTTGGACACTTGCCCAGGACTCAGGAGTAAGTTGCTCTCTCACTCCCTGGCGACTTTGAGCTTACCAGCACAGGACAAGACGGCACTCAGGAGGACAGGCTTCAGCTGGATCTTGACACTCAGACGAAGAGGATGCCCAGCAGCCACAAAACCACGTGAAAAAACCCATTTGGAAGTAGTTTTCAATTTTTTGTAGAACACGGTCTTACCACTTCTCTGCATGTGACACATGCCGGAGGCTGGCGCCATGTGGGTTCAGAGAGGTGCTTCCTGGGACTTGGTCTTTTCCCAAACAGATTTACATTTTGTTTCTTAAACATTTACTGTCTTTCCCTTCTGTGCTGATCACCAAGGTGGTTCCCACCTCTGCTGGGCTGTGGCTTGGGAACTGGGTTGAAGTACATTTTCTAGCTTACTCTGGAGAAGCAAAGGGAGGATTGGAATGGCCAGTGGGTCGAGATGGTCTGGGCTCCACTCGGTCTTCCTGCCAGCACCCTCCTAGCAGAATGTGCCCTTGAGTACCTCGTGCAAGCTTGCCTTCCCCTGAGGAGCTGGAGTGGGGGTGACCCTCCACTCACCCAGCTTCTGTGAGCGCAAGTGGCGACTCTCTGACTGGAGAGTTAAGGCCCAGGGGACCCCCTGAGCTCTTATACAGAGCGGCATGATGCTCTCCCTAGCCCTGCTCCCCGAAGGTCTGAGCTGCAGGGCTTGCTGGAGGAAACAGGCCTAAGGCAGATGGGGAGGGAGGGGCACTCTGCTAACGCCAGAATCCATAACATTCCCAAACCCCACATTCTTGTTCCTTGTCTTCATTTTGCCTCCCTGTTGAAAGCACCACGTGTTTGTTTGTTTTTTTATTTAGCGATTTAGAGATATAACTTGTTGTCCAATCATTGTCAAATGTTTGTGTCATTTTTATGTTCCTGCAACAGTTTCTGATTTCCTCATCCATCAAGTCAGAGTCCAGTCCTCATCCTGGATAAAGAGCATTTAGCTCGTTTGATTTCATCAGGCAATCATTAAACATTTCACTCACTCCTTGCCAGCTTTTCCATTTCCTTGTTTTACTTTGTTTGGCTTTTTCTTTTGGTTGAGCTCATCCATTCACTCAATGGCGTGTCTGTCTGCTTGTGTTGGGACTCAGCCTAAGATGTCCTGACTGAGAAGGGGAGGCTGAGTCCCATTCCCCTTCCCCAGTCATTTTCAGCGTCAGACTGAGGGGCACCAGGGCCCGAGCCCCTGTTCTGTGCATGGGCGGGGCTGGGCAGATGTGGGCAGCTTTGCGGTGGAGGCGGAGGCAGCAGGTGATTGCGGAAGGGCGGGCCAAAGGTTGTGGGAAAGGTGAGAAACATGTGGGTGTGGGTGGGTTCTGGCAGGAAATGGAGAGGGTCTTTCCCTTTGTGAGCCCCTGTGGGGAGCTGAGGGAGGGGTGGGAGGGGACAGGGACAGTGATGTGTTGGAGGCATCACCTATGTGCTGGACTCTGAGCCTTGTACATCTATTCTCACTAGTGCCCTGGCTTCCCCTCCCACCAACAGGAAGGTCGGTGGTTTGTGCTTGAGGATGTAGCTTGAAAGAGAAATAAGACGGAGTGGGTAGAAAGAAAGGTGGAACTCGAGGGCGTGGACTGGGTTTGAGGCTGTGGCGCCTGCTTGGTGTGAACGGGAGTGGAACAGCCAGGTCTCCCGGCCTCTGCCTCCTGGAGAGACAGGTCCCAGGGCAGGGGTAGAAGCCTTGGCTTCGCAGTGGGCAGCAGGTCTGGACCTTGGGAAGTGCCGCTGGCTTTCTGCCTCATGTGCCTCTGGGGCTCTCGCAGCACCCGAAGTGTCTGTCTTAATCTAAATCTCTTTCTAGGAAAGACCCTTCTTGCTGAAGGTGATGGTATATTCTGTCCCCTGTTGGAGAAATGTCCAGTTGCAATAGTTTGAGCTCAAAGAGAATCCTTGCCCCCTCCCCCTTTGCTACCATGGAAACTTCTGGAATAGAAGGGGCCTGCTCAGAGGGATGGCTGGAAAAGTAGATTTGAGATTCCTTTTTATTATCTTAGAAGTTTCTGCCAGGAAGCCAGCCAGCTGGTGTGCATGCATGCGTGCGTGTGTGTGTACGTGTGTGTGTGTTTATACATGGGCATGCCTGTATCCCCCAGGGGTGACTGTGGGGGGGAGGGGTGCTTTCATGGAAATCTGCCCACCACACCAGCCTCTCTTTTGCTGCCACTGTCTAGACTGTTGACCTTTGACCTTCCCGCCCCTCTGAGTGTCTGAACCCAGAAGTCCCTTCAGGGATAGTGGGACAAAGCTCCATTCTTCTCCATGGCCCCAACCTTGCCTCAGAGACCTGAGCCTGCAGCCAGCATGGGGCACTGGTGGCAGCCACACAGACAGGGCAGGCTGCCTTACTGCCAGGGCACCAGGCCCGCAGCCTCCGCAAGCTTGGGGACACTGAAAAGGGCTTTGTTTTTATAACCCAGATTAAGTTCCCCTTCTCTAGTACAAGTGCCTAAGGGCCAGGCAGCCTGGTTAGGAGGGAAAGCACCTCTGTGCTTTGAGGGAGCACAGTAAAGGTCATGGTCCTCCTTGAGACAGCAGGTTGGCTATTTGGGAGTTGGGAGGCGTTTGCTGGTACCCACATTTTCGAAGATAATTATTGAATCACCTTTGGATGCTGAACACACCTGTTAAGAGACCATCCTGTGGTTCAGTTGTCACAGCTCAGAGTCAAGGACTCCCAGACTTCCGGGAGACATGGCCCAACCCCAAGCCTCTCCGCCCTCCCAACAAACCCAAGTGTTCTTCCCTCTCTCTGCACCCAAGCCTTGTGCAGAGACCCCCAAAAGTGCCTGCCCTTCCCACATGCTTGGGGCACAAAAGGAGACAGGACAGGAAAGCAAAGTTACTGAAGCCTCTGGGGCGGGGGTAGCCCTGGTTCCAGCCCCCCAGGCCCTTCCAGGGCAACTGCATTTGTATCCTCCAGGAAATTCCAGCAGCTGGTTTGGAATTGGGCTTCTGGATCCCATGACCACTGATGTCCAGGCCCTGGCTAGATGCCATGGAGAGCCCATCCTGGTCTCTGGAAGTGAAACCAGCCTGCCCTGGTGTTACCTGGGATGTTTCTGGGCCACCCTCGGTATCTCAGGCTGCTGTCTTGTTCTTCATCTCAATAGGAGGATTCCCTTCCTGCTGAAGTTGATCATGTTTTCTGTCCCCAAAGGGGGGTCTGGCCCCTCTGATATAGGGGTGGCTTCCTGCCCCCAGAGTTCCTTTGAGTGCCTTGTCTGAAACCCCTATGTCTGGAACCCCAGGCCAGGGAAGGGTCTGCTAGATTTTGCTGGGGGTTGAGCTCTGGGAGACCCCAAATATGACACCCCAGGAAGCAAATAAAAGTTGAAATGTGATTTCTTGTGTGTCTTCATGAGAAGTTGTTGTTGTTTACTGGGGTCACTGTCAATAGAGGGGGGCCACAATCCCAGGATTTCTATCCTTGTTCTTGACCTGACAAGTGGTTTGTGGCAGCTGCTATGAGTTTGCTGAATGAATAATGATGAAAACATTTCTTTTCTGAATCTGCTGCCTTTGTCTGATGCACAGAGAGGTTGAATAACTTGCCTGTGTTCACACAGGGGGTGTGAGTGGCACTGGAATTTGAATCGTGTTCATGCATACTTCCAGTGTGTGAAACATCACACCCAGCCCTGCAAAGGGGTACATTACCAACTCTTACAGCAAGAGAAACTGAGTCAGGAAAGCCAGTATGTGAACCAGGCCGGCTGCTACTGCTCTTAGCTGAGCGATCTGAAGACCGGAAATAGGACCCAGTCATTCCCCCATGTCAGCCTCCGCGGAAGGAGGACATGCCAGAGTTGGCAGTGCCTTTCAAAGAATAAACCTTTGAAAACAAAGGTTCTTTAGCAATCAGGAAAATAGCTTGTTTCCAGGACAGTGGGTAGCAGGGGAGACGGCACCCCTTTGAAGTGCTGAGGAACCATGGTCTCTGCACCCCCAGAAATGTCCATGGCTGAGTGGTTAAAGCTGGGTCTTTCTAGACCTCCGGTTTTGGACCACAATTACCAAGAAATCATAGAGATCCCAGTGGCCCAGGCCAAGGCCTGGTGTTTGTATATCCTCTGTAGGTGGGGGATCTGTTTCCATCCCGGAGCCTCCCTCTGCCACCTCTGTTGGGTGGAAACCCTTTTGTTCCCCCAAGAAAAACCCTGTCACCCAATGGTAGCTTGTAAGAGCTGACCAGGAGGCCAGGCTTGGTGTGGAAGGGATCAGGTCAGGAAAGTGGGAAAGGCGACAGGGTTGATACTGTAGGAGGCCTCTGGGAGGACTGCGGGCATCCTTTTAAAATATAAATATTTATATATATATATATATATATATATATATATATATATATATATACACACACACACACACATTTATGCATACAAGAACTAGGGTACAGGCCAGAGGTGGGGTTGGGGGAGAGGATTCACCAGAGACAGAGTGGGGAGTAGAACAGGCAGATGGACTGAAATACACACTGCAGAGGGGAGCAGCAGCTGGGTCAGGAGAGGTCTGCTGCGCCATGTGGGTCAGCTGCCCAGCTGGGGGCAGACCTCATGCTTAGTGGCTCTGCAGTGGCTGGTGATAGCATGATAGCGCTGAGACTTACTCCTGGGGCACTGGAGAGGCCGGCTGTGGGTGTTATTATAAGAGCTGTGAAAAAGGAGGGGAGCAAACTGAACCTTCTTTCATTCCTTGAAACTCAGTTTCATTTTTTCTAAAAGATTTTATTTATTTATGCATACAGAAATGGGGTGCAGGCAGAGGTGCAGGGACGGTGAGAGGATTCACCAGAGACAGAGTGGGGAGCAGAACAGGCAGACACTCAAAGTACACTGCTGAGGGGATTATCAGGCGCTGGGCCACATGGATCAACTCTGGGGCGGGGATCAACTCACACTGAAGCAGCCACAGCTTGGCTTAGCTTCATAGTGCAGTGCTCCAACCCGCTGCACCACCAAGGAGGGTCTGAAACTCAGTTTCTACATACCACATGGCTTTTGTGGGAATTAAATGAGATTCTGCTTTTACATCCCTTATCTGGGTGCCTGGTGCAGAGCAGTTCACTAATATACAATTATTACCTCCTCTTCAAGGAAGCCCACCCAGTTCCCAGTCATCTCCCTCCACTGGGTGCCCCCCATCGCACACACTGGGTCATACCAACGGTTTCCGTAGAAGCCCGAGAGAGCAGGCAGGTCGAAGTCCCCTGTGTTTTCTGCGTCTAAAACTGGGTGGCACATAATAAATGCATGATGAACTGTAGGTGGTCAGAGCAGGTGAGTGCTGCGTTCCGCCTGGGGCCGGCAGGGGGCGCAGGGACAGCGTAGGAGCCCTGAGAGCAGCCCCGCCGCTCAGCCCAGGCTGCGCCTCGGCCCCTGCAGGCCTGTTCCTGAAACCTGGGTCTCGGTCCGCGAACGGCAGGCCTGGACGCTGATTAAGTGCGAGCTGTGCTCTGGGAGCTGGGCTGGAGACACACGTGGACCAGAGGTGCGCAGGCTGCGACATGGGGCAGGGCTGCGGCTGTGAAGAGAGTAGACCCCCTGAACCACCCATATGGGACCCCTCATTGGAGGGTAAGTCTGACGGCATTGGCCATTCCCTAGGCTCTCACCTGTGTATTCGCAGCCTTCCGCGAGAGGGGGGCTGGGGACAGCAGTGCACCCAGGTACAGTCACCTGACTGGCCTCTTCCACTCCTCCCAGTCTGCACTCACAGGAGAAAGCCAGAGTCCCCTGCCGAGCATTTTCCCCCGTTGCTGTCTCCCTGCTAACCTCAGGCTGTTGCCACTCTGCCTCTCCCACCCCGTGCCTGGAGAACTCCTATGCACCCCTGGAAACCCAAGATGTGGGGGGAGGATGTCGAGATCATGTTGGGACATGTTGAGTGTGACTGGTCTGGTTACGCATTAGGGGGTCAATACAGGACACCGGAAATGCTGGGAAATCCCAGAGTCCTTCTCTCCTACCCGGCCTTCCTGTGCTGGCATCTTGCCTGCAGGCCATCAGCAGTTTCTTCAGATTGCCTCAGACTTGCCCAGACATGTCCCCAGGAGGCAGGGGGGGCGGCGGCAGGCTCAGGCAGCCCCTCCACCCACACTGGTGTTTGGGGGGCAATGGAGGGGGGTGGAAACCTGTTGGCAACAGCGATAAAGAGAAACAAAAGTAGAAATGCTGAGTCAGAAAGTGGGGATTTCCCAGCTGTTTTCTCTTCCAAGTGTTGTGCCAGGTTTCGAGTTTCCCAAAGACCACCAAGGAGCGGATTCTGATGCAAAGCACATGAGGGTCTTTATTGCAAGCTCCAGCCTGGGCTCTTAACATGCAGCTAGACTCAGCAGCCAAAGTTGAGAGCCCTGAGCTCAGGGCAGGCAGGGTTTTTATTACAGAAGAGGGGAGTTTTAGCCCAGCAGAGGGGAGTTTTTGCTCAGCAGTACATTGATTGGTGGACATTGAACAAAGTTATCTTCTCTTAACCGGGTTGGTCTATGCATGTAAGATGTGACCTTCACTACTCGGACCACATACCTTAGGACATCTAGCGTTTTTCTGATATGTACTGGTTACTTGTCTACTTGCTAATTGGCTGATGCTTTGGGATGAGCAAGATTAGGACATTTACAGTGAAATTCAGCCTTGGCGTCTTGTTGATAACTGAAATTTAGGCCTGGCTGGTTCAGAAGCATTCTGAAGCCTGTCATGGCGTCAGTTTGGTCTTTCACAAGGTCCTGCCTTTAGAATAAAGACACTGGGGCCTCCCCTGCCTGGTGGCACAGGGGTTAAAGACAGCACTGTCAAGCCATTGCCAGCCACTACCCTCATGAGTTTGAGGCCCAACCAGCCAGGGAGCTGACCCACATGGCAGCTCCTGACCCGCCAGCTGCTCCCCTCAGCAGTGTTATAATTGATCTGTTTTGACCCCATTCTGTCTCTGGTGGATCCTATCACCCCCACACCTCTGGTCTATACCCCAGGTCTTGTGTGCGTAAATAAATAAATATTAAAAAAAAATAGGACGAGGACACTGAGGTACAGAGATGGCCCCCCAGCCAGCTCAGGATGTGGATTTGGGACTTTGGGTGACCTGGGTTCCATGCTGTCTGACCCAGGCACAGGTGGCCCTAGTATCCCCTTGACAGAGCTGACCCCTGCACACAGAGTCGCACATGTAGGGCCTGACACACAGCAGAGGCCTCCATAAATGCACACTGTAGACAGTGGAGCCCTTACAGGAGTGAATGTACAAACTGGGGCGCTAAATGTGTGTGTAAGTGTGGGGGTGGCTAGCAGCCACCCCCGCCAGCTGGTTCCTGGCAATGACCACCGAGCATGGTGGGGGGGTCAGCGCCTGACCCCTCAGCTGACCTACTTCCTGCCAGTTATTTTGTACTGCCCTCATCCTCCAAGATCCCCTGCAGCCAGGAACCCACACAGCCGGTGGCAAGAACTGAACACACCACTTCCGGCCCCTCCGCAGCTCAGGCTCTGCTGACTCACACTCCTCTGTCCCACCCAACACTGAACACTGACGCCACTGAGGATGGGGGAATAGGAAGCCCAGACCCAGAAGGCAGAGAATTGTGGCGCGAACATCAGGGAGAACTTACCTCAGCCTCAGCTCCCCACAGATGAAAGAATGACCTTCACAAACAAATGGGTAACTGGTGGGTTTTGTTCAGTCATTTTGCCTCAATCACAAACATTTGAATACCAAAAAAAAAAAAAAATCCATAAAGAAATAAAAAAGCTAATTCTTATACTGGTAGTTTTTACCTGCCATGCCTTTTTTTTTTTTTTTTAAGATTTATTTATGTGTGCATACAGAACTGGGGTACAGGCCAGAGGAGCAGGGTGGCAGTGAGAGGATTCACTATAGTCAGAATGGGGAGCAGGACAGGCAGATCGACAAAGTATGCTGCTGAGGGGAGCAGTGGGCGACACAGGAGAGGTCCGCTGCACCCTGTGGGTCACCTCCCTGGCCAGAGATTGAACTCAGGCTGAAGTGCCTGCAGCTAGCTTCGTAGTGCTGCGCTTTAACCCACAGAGGGCCCCCTGTCTCACTTTTAACTGACCAAGAAGTAGCTTCTGGGTTCGCCAGACACTGGACAGAAATGATGTATTCCCTTACATGCTGGAGGCCAGAGGGGCAAATCAAGGTGTGGGCCAGGCCGGGGGCTGTGAGGAAGCATGGGGCACAGACCCCTATTTGTGGAGGCTGCAGGCAATCCTTGGCATCCCTGGCTTGTGACTGCATAGCTCCCATCACTGATTCCATCTTTGCGTGCCTACCGCCATAGGATCAGGCTGTTCATATCTGGATTCAACTAACTGTGGGTCAAAAACTGAAATTTATCTTAGGCTTATCTAGATTCTGACCTCATCTGTACTGAGCACAGTACAGAGGTTTTTGTTGTCATACATAGCATAATGGCTATTTACATCATACTAGGTATTAACAGTAAGCTTGAGACGATTTAACTTTTATGGGTGTTCTTGGGGGGTCCTGGAGCCAATCCTCAGATACTCAGATACTCAGCAAAGACCCTAAAAGTCATAATCCGGCCCTCCCTGGTGGCGCAGAGGGTTAAAGCACAGCACTGAGAATCTAAAGCCACTTCCGCGTGAGTTCGATTCCCGCCTGCCCGGGAGGTGACCACATGGCGCAGCAGACCTCTCCTGACCAGCCCGCTGCTCCACTCAGCAGTGTACTTCGTCGATCTGCCTGTTCTGCTCCCCACTCTGTCTATGGTGAAGCCTCTCGCCGCCCCTGAGCCTCTGGCCTGTACCCCAGTTCTGAATGAACAAATAAATAAATAAATCTTTAAAAAAAAAGTCATAATCTGAGGTTCTGGTTGTTTGTGAATCTGGAAACATACTATTCAACAAAGTACCAACAAAACTAGGGAACAAAAATCATTCTGAGAACCCTCCTAACTCCTAGACAGGCTTGCAAGCAGGGCTGGGACCTGGGCATCCGGGCGGCTATGGGGTATGGCGATGGGCACGGACATTGGTTTGATAACATGGAAGAAAAATTTAGCCAGACGATGCTGTTGAGGATGGTTGGGTGGCTCCCCCCCCCCCCATTCTGATCTTTCTGCTCTGGTGTGACCCCTACATGAGCATGCATCCCTGGTGCCATGGCTCATAATCATGAAGATCTAGAATCCACAGGAATACTAGGGTATGTTTGTACCACGGAGTATTATTTAGCAGTGAGAAAGGATGAGCCAGGCTTGTAGGCAAAAGTCTCCAAACCAGATCATTGAGAAGAAGCAAATTAGTTGTAAAAGGGAAGAGATGGTGTGGTAATAATTTTATATGGTTGTTTAATCTGCATTTTTTGTTGTGGTCAAATACAGTCATGCCTTATTTATTTGCTATATATTTAGGAGAGAGGACACCACACTTCTACTAAATTAAGAGAGAGATTTTATAGCCCAGAGGTCTGTTATCTGCCCCCCACCCCCTTTGTCATGAGTTCCCAGAGCATGGCCCAGCAGCTCAAGCTCCTTGCCCTGGGTTCTCACCAAATGAACTTTTCTGGTGGAGCAGGCTGGCACTTCAGCTGAGCCCAAGTACCTTTCTCTTTGGTTTCCTTTTTTTTTTTCTGACTATCTTCTTCCTTGTGTTTCAGGAAACTGCCTTCTCTCCAATACAAACATTAGTTCTCTTGGCAAGACTCTTGCCCTTGCTTATTTATAACAGTGCCATTGTATGCTGGGTAATACCCAGACTCCTCCAGTTCTGTCATGGTAACATCTGTGGGGCATTCCTGTTTGAACAGTGCCTGTCCCCTGGATGCCCACAGTATCACCTTGCAAATTCCACGTATGTGGCCAAAGGAACAGCCCCATGTTTCCTGAAAGGCCTGGAGAACATGCAGCAGGTTCTCCTCCTTCCTTTGCGTTTGTCATTTTGGCCACTTATTGGATGGCAGCAGTTCTGGCTGAAAAGAAGGGGCATGCCTCCTTTAACCATGGAGGTGGCATCTGAGAAACGCATTGTCAGGAGAGTTTGTCATTGTGCAAACACCATAGAGTGTAATTACACAAACCTAGAAGGCCCAGCTCACTGGGGCCACTCATAGATGCAGTCTGTTAACTGAAACATTGTTAAGTGAACCCGACTGCTCCATTTTGTTCATCATTCACGGACACTTGTGTTGTTTCCACTTCTTGGCTATTGTGAGTGATTCTGCCAAGCATGGGTGTCCATAGTGCTCGGCTCCAATCCCTGCTTTCACTTCTGTGGGGTATATACCCTGAAGTGGAATGTTATATCGTTATATGTTATATAGCTAGTTATATGTTATATAGTTAGTTCTACAATTAACTTTTTTTTTAATGTAGACATTTTTTAAAATATATTTTTATTTATTTAGTCATATAGAACTGGGGTACAGGCCAGAGGTGCAGGGGCGGTGAGAAGATTCACCAGAGACAGAGTGGGGAACAGAACAGGCAGGTTGAAGAAGTACACTGCTAAAGGGAGCAGTGGGCAAGACAGGAGAGGTCCGCCAAGCCATGAGGGTCAGCTCCCGCTGGAGATCGAACTCAGAACAGCTGTGACTAGCTTGC